ATCTGAAAGGGAAGGGCCCAGCGCACATCTCACCCGCCAACACGGGTACACATGCCTTGTGACACGGATTAAGCTCAAGGCGGGGGGTGGGAAAGCAAAATCTCCATGTGGAACGACATGCGCATGTGCTTAGTTCACCACATGCTCAAGTTCCACACACAGTTCACAAGCTCACACTTAATTTCACATGACTCCATGTGGTGATGTTGCGCACAGACTTTTCTCTCTGCATGCCAAAAGAGGTTTGACAAACGGAGAGGGAGCGCCCATCTGGTTGAAGGAACCCCTTGAAAGAGTCAACATTCTAAAAAAGACAGGCCGAGCGCACATCTCACCTGCAAGCACGGGCAAACATGCCTTGTGACACGGATTTAGCTCGGGCCTCCTTCGCGTTTCCCTCTCTGGCCTTACAGCCGTTTGTAAGCAGTTTAGCAGCTGCATGCGCCAGCGCAACGTGGTTGTTTCGAAGCTTCAAGTGAGCGACAATGGCCACCGCATCTTGCAGATGGACATGTGCTGGGGAAGTGGAGCACTAATGCCCCGCCAACAGAGTGCGTTCCATGCTCTGGTGGGACAGAAAATCCCAGGTTGCACCACCATGGCGCAGCGAATAAACGTGTAGTCGCTCAGCGCCAAAAGAAAAAGTGTCCAGCAAAGCTTCGAAGCATCTTCGAAAATGATCAGGAATGACGAAGCAGCAACTCATGCGGGGAACGTTTGCACCAGGCCTTCTTAACCAGTGAGCTGCAAGTTTACTGTTGATCACGACCATTTCTTCCTGTCCGGTACTCTTGCTCCCTTTCGTGAGCCCTAGCCTTGAAACAGCATGCTAATGATAAAATGTCACGTTCCCGACTTGGAGGTGATACAGCTCTCCGCTGCGCATCATCCCATCGAAGCAGATGAGCAACCCGGCTGCCACAAAGGAAAGATTTATGCCAGCAAGAATGGCATTCCCGGCAGGATTAGAGGGCTGAGCGGTAGCACTCGTAGAGGCGGCCCTACTTCCTGCCAGACTTTGACAAGCTTCCGCGCTTGCTTCATCTTGCCATATCTTGCCTTGGCATGCTGGCATGAAGTGTTGGAGCCCTGCTAGCCTTTCACTAGCCAAACCCTTGCGCTGTCCGTCCGCGTACGAGAACTCAAGCCATTGGCTGGCCTTATCATCGAATTGTTGATGCATGACAACAACAAGTCCATGTCCGACAGGAAATTCACGAATGCCGCGACAGCTGTACAGTAATGTGGCACCCGATTTAATGG